CGTGGCGTGTGCAGCCATGTCCTGTGCGTGTGGGGGGGGGGCACGGTACAGATTCTCTGTGTGCGTGTGTATGTGTGTGTGTGTGCATGTGTGGGTGGGGGGGTGCATGTTCTGTGTGTGCATGTGTGACAGCTTCTGTGGGCAGGGGGTGTGCAGTGTGTGTGTGTGTGTGTGTGTGTGTGTGTGTGTGGCATGCATGTGCTGTGTGTGCTAGGATCTGGAGCCTGTGGGTGGAGGGTGTGCGGTGCATATTGTATGTGTGCGCATCGGATGTGTGTGCTGTGCGTGTGTGTGTGTGTGTGTGTGTGTACATGGACTCTGTAGGTGGGACATGTGCCGGGTATGGTGCGTGTGTGTGAGTACATGGAGCCTGTGTGTGTGTGTGTGTGTGTGTGTGTGTGTGTGTGTGTGTGTGTGAATTCACAGTCTGTGGGTGGGGGGTGTAAAGTGCATTGTGTGTATGTGTAGTACATGTGTGCTGTGTGCATGAGCGGACTGTGGGTGGGGAGTATGTTCTGTGTGTGTGTGTAGCATACGTGTGCTGTGCATGTGTGAAGACATGAATCGGTGCATGGGGGTGTTTGCAGTGCATATTCTCTGTGTGTGTGTGTAGCATACGTGTGCTGTGCATGTGTGAAGACATGAATCGGTGCATGGGGGTGTTTGCAGTGCATATTCTGTGTGTGTGTGTGTAGCATACGTGTGGAGTGTGTGTGAGTACGCAGAGTCTCAGGGAAGAGGGGCGCAGTGTGAGTTCTGTGTGCACATATGTATGCCTTTGCATGTGCATATAGCGTGCGTGTGCTGTGTGCTTGTGTGAGGACCTGGAGCTTTGATTAGAGGGGTGCAGCGCCTGTGCCCTGCATGTGTGCATGAGTGTGTGCATATGCCTCTGCATGTGCATAGAGTGTACGTGTGCTGAGCATGTGTGCGTGTGTGGACTCTGGGGGGGTGCAGTTCACGTTCTGTCTGTGTGCGTGTATGCCTTTGCACGTGTGTGTAGCAAGTGTGTGCTGTGTGCGCACATGTGCTGTGTGCGCACTCTACAGGCATGCGAGGGGTGCGTGCTCTGTGTGCAAGTAGTGTGTGTGCGTGCCCTCTGCACGCAACGTGAGTGCACACATTGTGTGCACATGCGTGTCTGTGCACATGTGCCTGCACTCTGTATGCATGCGCATCATACGTGCATCTGCACATACTCCGTGTGTGTGTGTGTGCGGTGCACGCAACGCGCACTGCACCCCGCCGAGTCTACACACAGGCGCAGCACACGCACGCTGTACATGCACGTCCTGGCCCCCGCCCCAGTCACACATCCCCGGCTCCCAGCCAGGCTGGGCTGAGGCCCCGGGTCCGGCAGCGCCGGCGGGCAGGCTGCCACCGGCACCATCTGCCGGGCTTGGCACCGCGGGGCAGCCCGGGGTGGGGGGGCATCTCTGGGTCCCCTGGGGCAGGACCCCCGGGCTGTCTGCGGAGCACGGGGTCTGCTCATCCCTCTCCACCCCTTTCTCCTTCTCTCCCCAGATCCCACGATGGCGCCGGGCCGGCGGGCGCTGCCCCAGTCCCTCGGCCGGGCCTTGCTGGCCTCCGCCCTGTGGGCCGAGAACGTCTCCGGAGCGGTGGCAGCCGCGACGCCGGCGCCGGTGCTGGAGAACAACGGCACCTGCCAGGGCTCGAACCGGTGCCTGCCGGGGGTGCTGCTTCCCGTGTGGGAGCCCGACAACCCGTCGTTCGGGGACAAGGCGGCCCGGGCCATCGTGTACTTCGTGGCCATGATGTACATGTTCCTGGGCGTCTCCATCATTGCCGACCGCTTCATGGCCTCCATCGAGGTCATCACGTCCAAGGAGAAGGAGATCACGGTCACCAAGGCCAACGGGGAGACCAGCGTGGGCACCGTGCGCATCTGGAACGAGACCGTGTCCAACCTCACCCTCATGGCGCTGGGCTCCTCGGCCCCCGAGATCCTGCTGTCGGTCATCGAGGTCTGCGGTCACAACTTCCAGGCGGGCGAGCTGGGCCCCGGCACCATCGTGGGCAGCGCGGCCTTCAACATGTTCGTGGTCATCGCCGTGTGCGTCTACGTCATCCCCAACGGCGAGAGCCGGCGCATCAAGCACCTGCGGGTCTTCTTCGTCACGGCCTCTTGGAGCATCTTCGCCTACATCTGGCTCTACCTGATCCTGGCGGTCATCTCGCCGGGCATCGTGCAGGTAGGACGTTAGCCTGTGACAGGTCCCGTGTTAGCCCGTGACAAGCCAGGACCGGCTCGAGGTTAGCCCGCGGTAGGCCCGACGTTAGCCCATGATGGGTCACGACAGGCTTGACGTTAGCCCGTGATGGGTCTGACATTAGCCTGTGATTAGCCTGACGTTAGCCTGTGACGGGCCCGATGTTAGCCCATGACAGCCCATAACAGGCCCAATGTTAGCTCGTGATGGGCCCTACATTAACCCATGACATACCACGATGGGGTCGACGTTAGCCCACAATGGGCTTGACGTTAGCCCACGATGGGCTGCAGCAGGCCTGTGATGGGCCCAACATCAGCCCACAAGAAGCCACGACGGAGGCCACGCCAGACCCAGACCCAGGTCCCTTGCTCGCGTCCGCTCTTGCTCGACAAAGCAGAGCGGCCGAATCCAGGCGCGGAGCAGCGGGGAGGCGATTGCGAGGCGGGGAGGAACGGGGGAAAACCCTGCTCCCGTCCAGCGCTGCTTTCTGGCGCCCCGGGGGCTGGGCAGGACGGACCCGGGGTCTGACCCCATCCGTGGCCTTTCTTCCGTCCCTAGGTGTGGGAAGCCCTGCTCACCCTGGTCTTCTTCCCCGTGTGCGTGGTCTTTGCCTGGATCGCCGACAAGCGCCTCTTCTTCTACAAGTACGTGTACAAGCGCTACCGGGCCGACCCGCGCAGCGGCATCATCATCGGCACCGAGGGCGACTTCCCCAAGGACATCGAGATGGACGGCGGCTTCCTCGCCCACGACCGCGTGCCCGACGGGGCCGCCCCAGCCTCCCCGGCCCTCACGGCCACCGGCCCCAGCCAGGAGGAGAAAGACCTGGACGAGAGCCGCAAGGAGGTCATTCAGATCCTCAAGGACCTCAAGCAGAAGCACCCGGAGAAGGAGCTGGAGCAGCTGGTGGAGATGGCCAACTACTACGCCCTGCTGCATCAGCAGAAGAGCCGCGCTTTCTACCGCATCCAAGCCACCCGCATGATGACGGGAGCCGGCAACATCCTCAAGAAGCACGCGGCCGAGTGCTCCCGCAAGACGCCCGTGGCCTCCGAGGGGCCGGCGGAGGCCGAAGAGGACACGGCCAGCAAGATCTTCTTCGAGCCGTGCCTCTACCACTGCCTGGAGAACTGCGGCTCCGTGCGGCTGACGGTGGCCTGTCAGCACGGCGGGGAGGGCGCCCACACCTTCTACGTGGACTACCGGACGGAGGACGGGTCGGCCAAGGTATAAAGGGTCAGTTTTCGGGATGGGACCGTGCCAGGGGGTGGGCGGCGAAGCGGCCGCGAAGGGCTGAAGACCGAGGAGGACGGGGCGGGAGCCCAGGTGGGTCCCCCGTGAGCAATGGTATGACGTGGCAGGAAAAACTCAATGCAGATGAAGGCGAAAGTCAGGTCGTAGACGTAGAGAGCAACCCCCCCCGGCAGATGAAACTCAACGTAGACGAGGGCCGAGGTCTTCCAAAGGGACGGGGGAGAATTGGAGAAGGTCCCAGCCCCAGGAGAGACCCAAAAAACCCGGGGGGGCTTTTCTGTTTGGAAAGGAGCGGGCTGAAGTGGGGGGACAGGACGGGCGTCGATAGCATCACGAAGGGGGTAGACCGAGGAGCTCATCGACTCACGGGCCAACTCTTGGCCTACAAGACCCAGGGCGCTAGGACCAGGCGGATGGGAGAAGGGGCACTCGTGCAACACTCGTGCACGGCCCGGGGAGGCCGAGCAGAGCAGCAAGGGGCCGGGCCGGGCTGTCCGTGGAGGGTCCGTCCAGCCACGGTTACGGCGCAGGCGGCTTGCAGGCGCGGGGTCGCCGTCCCAGGGGGGTTTGAAGACCCAAGTCCTGGCTGGGGCTGGGGCTCGGACTACACGGTCCCTTCCCACCCTGGTTTTCTGCGAGTCTAACCCGAGCGCTGCCTCCCCTGGGCCGGGCTCTCCGTGAGCGATCCCCGCGCGGGAGAGAGACCCGGGCGTCACGGGATCGTAGGGAAGTGGGGCTGGAAGGGACCTCCCGCGGCCCCCCTCCAACCCGCGCTCGAAGCTCTCCCTGGCCTGATGCTCGGCCGCCCTCAGAGTCGGGACGTGCCTCCTGCTCGCCAGCCTCAGTTTGCCCATCTGCAGCGCCCAGCCTGTGCCCGGCAGACGGGACCCGCGATGCCTGGGAGGGGGAGAGTCACGGGATCGTAGGGAAGTGGGGCTGGAAGGGACCTCCCGCGGCCCCCCTCCAACCCGCGCTCGAAGCTCTCCCTGGCCTGATGCTCGGCCGCCCTCAGAGTCGGGACGTGCCTCCTGCTCGCCAGCCTCAGTTTGCCCATCTGCAGCGCCCAGCCTGTGCCCGGCAGACGGGACCCGCGATGCCTGGGAGGGGGAGACCTTTCCCACCCTTTGCTCTTGGCCATCGGGGACCGGCGGCG